TGGCTTCCTGGGTCCACTAAAGCAGTTCTCTTTCATTCTGAACCTGGAACCCATAGACCCCCCCGAACTACATGCTATATTGTGTGTGTGGCTGGATATTTTGAAAGAGGAATTCCTCACCTTTGGCAGATCCTTAAGAGAGTCTATCTCAGCTTCCTTTCTCCATTTTATTTCCTCATAGCATTTCACTGGCTCTGAAAGTCCATTGTTTCCTTTTCATTGTCTGTCTCCACCACTAGAATGGAAGCTCCAAGAGACTCGTAATGGTTGTGTCCCCAGATCCTAAAACAGAGACTGGGTCTTGGTATCTTGTGAATGAATGAGCAGATGAGGTATTTTGATCCAAAGGTAGAACTGCAGACCTACTCTGCAGTGGGGGACTGGGCCAGCCCTGCAGTCTGTGGGGGGTTTTCTTCTAGGTGCTGCATCTGGGCTGGAGCAGAGACATGTGAATGGGAGTATGCTCAAGACCCACCTGAGCAGAGAAAACGCAGAGGTCCTTGGAGCACATTTATTTACCCTGCCATCTTCCAGAGAGGAGAAAGGGCTGTTTTCGTTTTTTTTTCTTTTTCTCTCTTATTTTCTCTTTCCTCTGTTTTGACATAGGGTCTCACTATGTTGCCCAGGCTGGTTTTGAACTCATGGGTTCAAGTGATCCTCCCATCTCAACCTCCCCAGTAGCTGGGACTGTAAAGCACGTGCTGTCACAGCAGGCTCACTATTTTTGACTGCTGTATAATACCCTGTCCCAAACCTTTGGGCTTAAGGACAATTTTACCATATCTCACAATTTCATGCTCAGGGATTCCTTCAGTTGCTGCTGAGCTGGGTGATCCTTCTGCCCCACATGGCAGTGACTGGGGTCACTTGGTTGTGTTCAACTGATAGACAGGCTGGTCTAGAGGATGCAAGTCAGATAGTGAGATGGCTGCCAGGCTGGCTCAGAGTCTGTTCCCTGGAGCAACTGTGTCTGGCTGCTCTACTCAGGCGGCTCTCAGCTCCCAGAGGCCAAGGCAGACACTTCAAGGCTGCTTTTGACCTGGCCCTGGATGTCACATACCACCATTTCCACCATATCCAACTGGCTACAGGCAAGTCACAGAGTCACCGGATTCAAAAGAAAGGAATGTGAATGACACAGGACCACTGGGTGGTGGTGTCTCCCCCTGGCTGGGTTTAAAGGACAGAGGCTAAAGCAGGGATGCTAAATAGGGCTGAGAAAAGGTCAAGAGCCTCACCCCTTTGACTTGCAAAACAAGAACCCAAGGACCATGAAGCCACCCCAAAAGAACCCCCACCAAACTTTAGCTGACCCCATATTCTTTGATACTTGGCTCAAACATTACTGACCACTCACCTACTTTCATTTTCAGGCAGATCTGGGACATACCTCCTTCCTCAGACCTGTAGACCCAGTGAAGAGGAGGGTGTCCTCTGCTGACACCAAGTTCCAGGATCTGGAGGCCACTGCTCCTTCAACCTTCAAACCCCTCGGCCATCTGAACATGCCAACCTCTGAGAAATGTGCTGAGAATTCAGTGATCAGCAGCTGGTCGCTCTGGCCACACTTCAGATGGTTCAGGAGAGAGGAAGACAATTCCCAAAGTGCTCCTGGTTGCTCCAGCCCCATCCGAGGGGGATCTCAGACAAGCCAACACAGGAGGCTGGGGAAGATCAGAACACTCTAAAAACGCAGTGGGGGTGGGAACACAGGCCACAAACCCTAACCTTGGGCAAAGGGAGGTAACCTGGCTTTCAGGAAGAAAGTCTCCATGGTTTCAGAGATGTTAGGAATCCACATCTCAGCACTTCCTGGAGAACTGACAGCCCTCTATAAAACATGGGGGAGGGGGTGGGGGGGCTGCATTTCTCCTTTTTTTGGTACCAGGGATTGAACCTATGGGCGCTTAACCACTGAGCCACATCCCCAGCCCTTTTATATTTTATTTAGAGACAAGGTCTCACGGAGTTGCTTAGGGCCTCACTAAATTGCTGAAGCTGGCTTTGAACTTGAAATCCTCCTGCCTCTGCCTCTTGAGTTGCTGGGATTACAGGTGTGTGCCACCGTAACTGGCTTCATTTCTTTATCTTAAGAAGTTTCTAATGTGAATGCTGCAGGAAGAGGCTTCAAAAAACCAGGCTTTGAGTCCCAGTTGGGTGGCCCTGGAAATGTTACTGAATTTCTCTGATCTTCTTGAAAAATACAGAGGATGCTTCCTGCACTACCACAGGAAACAAAGACACGAGTATCCAGCACAGTACTTGGTATATAGTAAGCATCAAGAGCCAGTAGTCTTAGGCATTATTATCAGGCTGGTACCCCAGCAGCTGCTGCCAGCACCCTTCTCTTTTGCCCAGAGAGACAGATGAACTACTCTGAAATAGCACTGAATGACAGACAGATCTAGGGACCCCACAAGGAATCTCCAGGTAACCCCACACATCCTCATGTCCACAAGTCTGCAAATACTTTCTAGCAGCCACATTTTTTTAAATGTGAAAAGAAGAAAATTTGAGATTATATATTTCATGTGTATTTAATTTATATTGGACAGATCAAAGATATTTTTTCAATATGAGTGTTTTCCCACACCCAATGGCAGACCTGAATTTGGCCCAGCTATGATTTGATTCAGTGCTCAATGACCTCAAGTGGCTACCAGGACTACAGTTGACAGCCCAGGTCTAAAAGGGGCTGGGTGTGCCCTTCCCTCCTGGGAGAGAGGAGGCTCAAGTGTGGTAGAAGGAGGAGCCTGGGCTTGTGTTTACGATACTTCCCTCCCCCAGGGATACCAATAATGTTTTATGCAATAACCCCTGCCAGAGATGAAGAAAAGAAAAAGAAAGGCAAATTACCAAGAAAATAAATGGTTTAATTTTTTAAATCTCCACATCAGATCGATTAGTAATAATGGACAACCACATAGAAAACATATTCTTTATTTAAAACAACAAATAAACAAAACAAAACCCTCCAGCTTTGATTTGGGGCCATCAAGGACCAAGAGATTCAGAGGCCAAATAGGACATGAGGATACGTGGGGTTACCTGGAGATTTCTTGTGGGGTCCCTAGGCCCAGAGAACCATGGCAGATGTGAGCTGGGGGGACTCTAGTGATCTGAGAAGGCCCTAGTCTCACAGACCGCTGGGCTCACCCTGCATTCAGAGTTGAGATGTGGACTTGGGTGTGAAAGATGGTACTTACAGCTTGAAGAAAAAAGCCCAGCCACGGGGAAACAGAAGGAAAAACAGAAGGAAACTGGAGGAGACAGGAGGACATACTGAAAAAAACACCTTGTCCTCCGCCTCTTGCTGGTGACAAAGAAAATACCTGAGGTTTTAAAAACAATATGACTTTGGAATATAGTAAATAAATTTAAAAAAATACATAATAAAAAACATCCTTGCTAGAGATCCTTAAAACTAAAAGAGTCTAAAACTTTTCAGAAAAAAAAAATGTATGGTCCATTCTGAAAATGGGACTGGACTTGCTAACTGTGTGGTTCTTTCTTGCCTGAAGAATCCCCATTTGCTTAAATGGCACTTGAAAAGACAGACATAAGATGACATTTGGATAGACGCCACTTTCTACAAGGAGAAAAGAGCTGGCCTCAGTGGTATAGAGTCTTGTGGGAGCCAAAGAATAAAGAAAGTTCTACAGCCAGATTTCCTATTTGAGTCTCAGTCTGTAGAAAGTTTGACATCCCAGATGAAGAACAAAAGCAAACAGCAAACCAATATAGGAAAAGGTCATTCTGAACATTTTAACCTGAAATGAGAAGCAGAGACAAGGAAAAGACAAGGAACCAATTCTAAGGTACTCAAGTTCCAAATACACAAATCCATTCCTATTTGTTTCATTATCTTTTTTCTTTTTCCAACAAGTTGGAGAAAACATGCAGAAATAATGGCCACGGATGGAGCTGACTTCATTCTTCACAGGGCCAAGCTTGAACAAGGCACAGCTCCCTGGTGTTGAAAAGGGCGGGGTTCTCCATCAATGATGTGGGTATCCAACACCACAGGCCTGCCCTCCTGCTGAAGAATACTCCCTGGTCATCTAAACATGACCCAAACCCTCTGACAGAGCAGTAAAGTATTTTGAAAACTTATTATTAAAAAAAAAAACAACTTCATTATTTTTCTAAACCTTCTTGGTGGCTTCAGAATCAAGTGATCATTTCATGTAAATTTGTTTCTTTTCTAGACGCAAGGTATAGTTTTAATACAATCTTTAATCTGGTCTGAAAAACATACTTCAGTATTCGATGACTTGTAACAGTGTGCACATGTAAACGGATGTTCTATATTGTTCGTTTGTTTCACCTGCCAGGAAAGACATCCACCAGTACTTAAACCCCTTTCCCTCAGCTAGTCACCTAGTTACCAGTTTAACCCAACATTGGGCAAAAAAGAGTATGCAGAAGTCAACACAACACACATCCTGACCAGTTTACAAGCATCAAGAGCAGTTTAGAAGCAGGAAATAAATAGAAACATCAACCACAAAAGGTCATCACTCATTCTAGATTTAAAGTGTCCTTTAGGCTTCCTACTTGGCCCGACCCCAGATAACCCACATGTTTGCCCTGCCCCCAGTGAAGGCTCTTTGGAGGGAGCACGTCTCTCTGCACTTCAACATGGGTGGGTGTGGGCTCCAGCACAAGGAATGGACATTTCCAAAGTGTAAAAACACAAAACAACATACACACACACATACAAAAAAAAAAATACCACAAAATAACCGTGGGCCCATGACCTCAAACTGAAAGCTGCAGGTCAGCCAAGGTGAGAGGAGCCATCATGGTGAAATCCTGTTCCTCCTGTTTCTGCAGAACTGGGTTCAGCCCAGTCAAGAGAGAGTCTCAAAATGGGAAGACATAACAAAGACCATTTCTCTGATGCGGCCTGGCGGGCTTTAGATAGTTCTCGTTGAGGCAATGAGAAGTGGTGGGGCCTCTGCATTTTCCACCACTCAAACATTCAGCTTGGGCAGGGCACCAGCTCTGCCCACCTGGAGCCTTGGTGTAGTGTCACTGTCCTTGTGTTCTTTGTTCTGACCCTCTCAACAGGATGCGATGAGGTCAGGGCTCTGTGATTTCCAGCTGGTAAACTGTGAGTCTTCTTTTCCTGCCCATCTTTATCAGGAACCTTTCCGCTCTGAGAAAACAAGCAAGGCCTCTCCAAGTCCACCAAGCAGGAGGCTGCAAACAATGGCATGAGGTTAGCTTCTCACTCCTTGCAGATCACCCAAGCTGCCTGGCACCCACACAGATCAGAACAGGGGACACCTCCTTCAGTCTGGGAGTGCAATTCTCATACCAGCCCAGACTGCCTTCCTTCTAGCTGGAATCCAGGACTCACCTGCCACTCAGGGGCAAACCTCCGATACAGCGAGGGAGGTGAGGGGGCTGGAAGACCAGCTTTAACACCTTCCCTCAGGGAAGGCAATGGTGTGTCCTGCTCCTCCTGACCAGCTCGGGCTCCCTGGAGGAAGCACACTAGATAGAAAGGCTTCCCACAGAGCCCTCAGGGGCTTTTTGCTAAAGAGGACTCATGGCTCTGAAACGATGCAGGGGTCCATAGTCTGATCATTGGTAAGGGGATACACTGTGAATCTTTGCATTTCATTTAGGCTAACAGAACATTGAAAGGTGAGCATACAAATGGGGAATCATGAATTTTCCACCAGAAAGAAATAGGGTCAGTGATTTGAAAATGAAGTAGTGTGAGGATGAAAGACAGTGAGTGAGGGAAAAAAAAAAGAGCTGAATATTTTAACATGCCTAAAATTTAATACTTCCAAAGGTCTCTCCATTTTCTATTTTAAACTTCTCAGTAGACAATCTGGTGTCTGTCTGAATCCCCTGTCATTCTGGGCATTGGGCGGGGCCATCACCAAGGGATTATGACAGTCGGTCCCTGAGGGTGAAAGACTCTACCTAGGAGCCAACCACCCTTTCAGAAGAGGTGCTTTTCTTCCCTTCATCTCTATCCACACACCAGTCCTCTTGTGTACTCATACACAACACACACACACACACACACACACTCTGATGACAACACCTTCATATTTCTTTTTTTAATATTTATTTTTTAGTTGTGGGCACAATACCTTTATTTCACTTATTTATTTTTATGTGGTGCTGAGGATCAAACCCAGGGTCTCGCACATGCAAGGCGAGCGCTCCATCGCTGAGCCACAACCCCAGCCCAACACCTTCATATTTCTAACATGTTTGGGACGCTGAATATATCAAACACATGCAGGCTACTCACAGTACAGTCCCAGTAAAAAATGTCACCTATATGGGTGACTCTGATATCAAGGTAACTTGCACAATTTTACACTTCTAATACAAGAATGAGTTGACTATGGGTGAGAATGTAAACACAGTCAACTTAGGGTCAGGCCAACCTGAGTTCAAGTTTTGGCTCAGGCATTTATTATCTATGTGGTCTTATTAAGCCTCACTTCTTCCATCTGGACCACAGAGGCTGACCATTTCTAAAAGCTTCTGTGAGGCTTAGAAATAATATGCCTGAAGCAATCACCGCTGTGCTTGGCAACCATGGGCAATCAATAAATTATGAGAATAATAAGAGAATTTTTCTAATCAATTCTGTTTCCAGAATAGCAATCCCTTTCCGTGGATCTCACAGCAGGCCGGCCACCTAACCTGAAGATGTCTAGTGATGGACATGTCCCATTGTGTAAGCCAGCCTGTCACACTGGCGAGTAGCTCTGACACCCTGACACCGAACAAGTGTGTCTCTAGGGAGGCACTGGGTTGGCCCTGATTGAGACATGACTCCGCCTCTGCATCTTATAACCTCACCTGTGAGTCTAAGTCCTACTTTCTGAAGCAAGAGTTAATGAATCTATTCCTTCGTCACCCTGGAGATTGGGAAAATCCCCCAAGCCACCAGGGCCCCCCTCTCTCGACAAGGGCAGAGTGCATGCGGGTTAAGGAGCCAGTCACTGAGAGAGGGGTACAAGGGTGCTGCCCTCTGGAACAACAGAGGGACAATGGAGATGAGGGGGCAGGGGAGATGAGCACTGAGTTATCTTAAGCTCCAAGTGGCAATGTAATCACTTCTTTCCGACTGAAATCATATTATAAATACTGAGAATCCATCAATTCCATTGAACCCACGATTGTGTGCCTGGAATCAGTATCTATGTTATGAATCAAATACTCCTCTGAGGACTTCACTCATCTACACACATCATTTATAGGTTACTTTCCGGGAGAAACTGTGGTCCGAGTTCCAAAAGACCCTATTTTGAAACACAACCCACATGTGAAGTTGGGAACCTGCTTGTCCCTTGTCTAGTTCAGGACCCCAGAAACTGGGACGGGGAGCTCTGTGCTCTTTTCTCTTTGGAGAAGAGATAACAGGGAAGCAGAAGCCGTTCTCAGCCCACGCAGGCTTTCCTTCCAAAGACTAGGCTTTTCCTTTGAAGCAGATCTTCTGTTTCTTCTCAGTAGCCCCTTAAGATGGCCTGCAGCATCTCAATCCCCAGGCAAGTAGAGAGTCCCTGCAATCGGATGCGAAGGCTGTGTGCAGCTTGCATGGGTTTGGATGGCTTTTATTTCTGCAAATGTAACTGGGGGCTCAGTGTTTTATACACTTCCCACTAATCCTCCTAATCACCAGGGAGAAGACCGGGGCAGACTGGCCCTCTGCCACCTGTCCTCCCACAGCCCGAGAACAATGCTGGAGTGTAACAACCCCATTTCATCCCTTTGGCAGAGTTACTTTACAAAACACCCAAGGAGCTTAGCAAGTGCAAAAATGAAAACAACCTCGCTTCGTTCACTGTGAAGCGAGCCAGGGAGGCCAGCTTTGATGTTGCTTTCTAAACGGCAGGAGAAGTGGACACGGGGTCCCGGATTCTTAATAGCATTACAACTATTTAAGCCAGAGCTTGACTGAACTGTTTGCAAATTTTATAATCCTCGTCATTCCTGAAAGGAACACACTTCATGTAGCTAAGGCATAAACATCTGACATGTGGCCAGGAATAGCCACCAAGAGCTGCTCTTTCAGGGGGCTATTTCAGCCCCTCCCCAGCCCTTCTCTCTTCTCCTATTGGGGTACCAAGGGCCTCATCTCAATTTTACATTGTGGTTATTTTATATTGTGGTTATTCAGTTGATTCCTATTGAACCCAACAGACTGGATGGAGACCATATCGTTTGCTTGGCTGCAGGCCCAGCACCTAATGTGGCACCCAATAAATATTTATTCAGCAAATGATTGAATTATACTGGTTCTCTCAAATCCCATTTATATTCCAAACTACTTTGCTTTTGCTCTCTTCCTTACTAAAATGTATCTTGACTAATGTCCCATTCCCTCTGGGATTCAGTGAGTGACAGTTTATAATCTGATAAATTATGAGAAAACTTGAGATTAGGTAATGAGCAATAATGATTGAGAAACCTCTACTTAGTATTTTTAAAGAGGAGGTTTTAAATTTTTTTTTATATACCTTTATTTTGTTTATTTAGTTTTATGCGGTGTTGGGGATCAAACCCAGTGCCTCACATGTGCAAGGCAAGCGCTCTACCACTGAGCTACAATCCCAGCCCTCAAATTCTTAATTCAAATGGGAAATTGATAAATGTCAGACACCATGATTCTAATGGTATTTTGGTATGTGTTGGGGAAGCCCTTCTTGCCCCTAAATTCATTCTTCCTATGCAAAAGAGGTCCCCTAAAATCAAAAGGATGGGACATCTTTACTCCAAGATGATTTAAGATTATTTTTTAAAGATGCTTAGTGTTGGTGAGGTTTGCTTTAGGATGGAGTTTGAGCAATCTTCATGACTGGCACACAGGTTCAATGAATAATGGGAGGAGGAGGGGGGAAAAAAGGAGAAAAATTGTTTGTGGAATCCTTAGAATAAACACTTGGCATTTCCATTCTCGCCTTGTACCTAAACCATTCCAAAGACAAGGGTGACCTTCCTGGTCTAGAAAAGGGGGTTTAGAGAAGAGTCTCCACAACTAATTCTACTTGACAGGGATACTGCTACCACATCAGAATATCTCCCTCTTGTATGTGAGAACCTCTTTTGCTGAAAGTTTAGAATAGAGGAAATCATTATTGATATATGCCATAAAACTGTTAATTAAAAACCAAATGATTAAATATAATCTCTATATTTAAATTACTGAGCTTGAACTAGATTGTTTTTATAATTAAAAACATGATAAATGGCTGGACAAGAACAGTTGCTTTTAATTAAAGACTGAAAATTGACCCACATGGGTTACTTAGGTTGGAAACTATTCTTGGATACAATACGTATTCATTCAGCATGTACTTGGTGCTAGACTAAAGATATAAAGGTACACAAAAACCAGCCCTTCTGCTACAGTTGCTTGCAGCCTTGTGGGCAGGATAAGTGTGCACACCTAGCTGTCACTCAGCATCACCAGTGCTTCCAGAGCCAGATCCAGAGTGGGCGAGAGGTGCTACTAAGCACTTGACCCCTGAGCTGATCCAAATCTCTAATTAAGAGATGTGCAAATTTTGCAATTTGCTGAAATTTCAAATGACATTTTTCCCACTCATTTCCATGAATCTTGAGATCAACGATTCCCAAGTGGGGTGATTTTACTTCCCCAGGGAGCATGTCACAATGTCTAGACATTTTCCATTACGATTGAGGAGGTATTATTAGCATTTAGTGGGTTGAGGTTCAGCTTCGCTGCTAGACCTCCTACAAGGCACAGGACAGCGTCCCCACAACAAAGAATCATCTAGCCCCAAATACCAGTGGTCTACAGAGTGAGAAACTCAACTTTAGATGGCCTATTTTGTGCAACTAAGCTGCTATCCACCCAAGAAAGTGGATAATGACATGTGTGGGACCCTTGCCAGAGTCAGGGATTAAGTTTACCTCTGTAGCCTCAGAGCCTAGCCCTGCATTTGTGTGGCATGAATGAACATCCAAAAGACTGGATACAGGATGTCAGCTGGAGCAGGTCCTTGGACCCCAGGGGTGGTGAAGGCTGTGCAGAACTGGAGAGCACCTGGCCACATGCAAGGGCAGCTCTGTCTACTGCAGCAATGCTCCTATGAGCAAGAGCAGGCCCACATTAACAAACATCTGTTCCACATTTTCAAAAGAATCTGGAAGGCTGGACTGGTATAAGAAAATCACCCAATTTCTAAATGTCGATGACTAAGTCAAAATTTGAAAAGCAAAACACAAGAAACTATAACTGTATAGGCAAATGCAATAGGTTTTTTAAAAAAATAGGCTGTCACCCCTGCCTTGTGTGACTTCTGATGGGTCTAAACTCCCACACCACAATGATCAGCCCATCCCTCAGAAGACCTAAGAGATGGTCACTTAACCACACCTGAACACGCCCAGTGCAGACACAATACAACTAGCTCTCTGCATGGCAGAAATGTGAATTACAGTCTGACACGCCCCTTCTGGTGGTTCACTTTGTGGTAGGAAAATTCTTTGAGGCTGAAAACACACCATTCTTAACCCTAAGAGTTTAAAAAAAAAAAAATCAGGAAATTCCAAAGTCAAGGTTCCTTTTGCAATAATCACACATTCTGCTTCCTTGATTTGGATACACACAGCATTTCTTTCCATTTTGTTTGGGGCATACCCTCAAGTTCACAGGATGTGAAACAGTCTAGAGACACAGCCTCTTGCAGACTAGAGCCTCTTTAATATCCCGACTTAGCCATTTCCTGGTCGCTGGTGAACTGTCTAACTCTTGTTTCTCACGCTCAGTTCAACACCTGTGTTTTTCTGGTTCATTCTGAAATTCTTTACAAAATATGATTGATTGAAGTATTATGTGTAAGAAAAGCAAGAATTTAGACTAAGCCTGGTGCTGTGGTGCATGCCTATAATCCCAGCAACTCAGGAGGCTGAGGCAGGGGGATCATAAGTTCAAGGATAGCCTGGGCAACTTAGTGAGACCCTGTCAAAATAAAAAACAAAAACAAAAAGAGCTTGGGATGTAGTTCAGTGGTTAGGGCCCCTGGGTTCAATCTCCATTACCAAAAATCAAAACAAAACACCACCATGACGAATACCATGAAGGTTAAGGATACAGAAATTTGGAGAAGAGATTTAAGAATGTACCCGGAAGGCAAAGGTTTTCTCCCTTGGCTGCTGGGTTTGGGACATCAACCAGCCCACCATTTAATGTCATTTCTTTCCAAGTTAAGTGTAGAAGAAGAAAGAGGGAGCATGGATTAGTGGCTGATCCATAGCCCCAGCTTAAACTACTGAGTCTCACCATTGGTACCTCCGCCCTTTTTTGCCTGGGTGACAGGGGCTAAGTCCTCCTATCCCTTGGTCTACATAAGCCTCTCTCTTTTGCATGAGGTTCAGGTTCAAGCTAGTTCAGGCCTTTCTTCCAAGTACTCCTGTCTTCTCTCCCTCCTTCAGTCCTCATGCTCACTGGGCATTCAAACAGCAGTTATTCTACCATCCCATAAATGAAGCTTTTGATTTTCCTTTTCATTGAATGCCCCTTGAGGGATGGATGATGATTTATGCTTTTTAATGGTTTCCATATATGTTGCAGACAGCAGTCACACAATAAATACAACGATTGATGGAATCATAGCTATCATATTCAAATTAAAATAAAAGATGATGAGACTTTTGCCCTAAAAATGCTACCCTGGACATTTTTGTTGTTGTTGTTGTTTCCTGATTCAGCCCCTAAGTAAGAATCAGAACTGTCTTGGCTTCAGTCATGATCCCTCTGTTTTGCTGTTAAATTATCTATATATCCCATATCACTGCTACGGTTTGGATGAGTGATCTCATGGGCCCACATGCTGAAGTCCTGGCTGCCAGTCTGGGGTGCTATTGGGGGGTGATGGGACCTGTAGGAGGGGGGGCCTAGTGGGAGGAAGTGAGGTCATCAGGGATGTGTCCTTGAATGGGACTGTGGGCTCCAGTCCCTTCTTCTTTCTCTCTTCGCTTCCCAGTTGCCATGAGGTGAGCATCTCCCACCAACATATGCTCCCCACCATGATGTCCTGTGTCTTTATAGGCCCCAAAGCAACGGACCCAAGCAACTGTGAACTGAAACCTCAAAACCCATGAGCCAAAATAAACCTTTTCTCCTTGTTAGCTAACTGACTCTGGTATTTGTTATAGTAACACCACCACTTGGGTGGGAAGAGGAACATCTAAGCCAACTTCTCTCATCCCTCCCTTATGAGATTCCACCTGGTACACTGTCTATACTGAAGGCAAGTCTGTGGTGCTTTTTAAATCAGTTCTAGAAAGTTATGGGGCTTTGGACACACAGAGCTCTGGGTTTGAATCCTGGTTTAATCATCTTATGGCTACAGTATCTTGAACTTCCGTTTCTTCATCTTTTGAATATGGAAAATTTGAAGGATTGTTGTAAAAGTGGAAAAAAAAGTAAGGTAAAATGTTGAGAGCACAGTATTTGCTCAATAAATATTTAGTTGTTATTAAAAGGAAGAAGAAGGGAGAATAGGAGGAGGAGGAGGAGGGGAAGGAGGAGGAGGAGGAAGGTACAGGAGCATTTCCTAATTTTTCTTTTTGGGGCAGAAAATGCCCCCCATTAGTGGCTCCTGAGAGAAGTCTGGAATCACTTTTCTTAGTGCTGTGAACCAAAATACTCATTTCTGTTGGTGTGGGATGGTTTAGATATGGCCTTGCCTTGGGCAGGGGAATGAGCATTTCTGGACACCACAGAGGCAGCAATTTCTTACTTTAAAGAACAGTTCCTGACACATATTAGGCATGGGTAAATATCTATTTACTGAATAAGCCTTCCCAGGCCAAGGCCACACGAGATTCAAGTTCATCTCTTAGACTTACCCATCATGGTATTCCACAGGGCCACCAGTCCTGCCCCTCACTCTTCTCCCACAGGAATCTCCTACTGATGTTTAAAAATAACACTGCTGTTTCAGTGGCTTCGATAGCACCCAAAGCATCATTCAAGAAGCCCTGAGAGAAACCAGGATGCCATGGGTACACCTAGGTACCAGCACCAGCTCCCACCAACCAGCACTGTGGTCTTGAGTCATGTATGAGAGTGATATATTCACTCTTCTGATTGTCAATCTACATATCAGTAAAGTCTTCTTTAATACAAAAGCTTTTACTAATACAAGACTTACATTAGGATGAACACATACACCCAATACATACTCTTTCTTCCACATTTGAGCAAAAATTAGTATCCTGTTGAAAGTCAAACAACAAATTTGCATTTCCTTTCATTGCATAAGACTTACCATCCCACAATTGGACTGGTCAGGGTCACATCAAACAGTAATACTGATAGTACAGCTGTGACCACCTGCAGAAAGAATTGCAACAAAAGATCACCAGAGCAGCAGGACTCTGGGAACCCCCCGAATCATTTCTCACAAGCTTACATCATATTATTTCACACCCCTTGACATGAGCCATGTCTTTCCATTTTGTGTCCTTTTCCCCCACACACCTCCTAGTCCCCAGCATTTAGTGTGGCCTCTGAGCAAAGTGTTTGGAAAATGCTAAATCCTAGTCTGATTTGGAGGTGAATAAAAAAAAGGCACACAGCCAACGTTCCTTATCTCACAAAAGGAGGATATTAACTATATTCATTTCCATCTTGCCTCACATATGGAATTCATCTCCAAGTTAAGGCTGCTCACTACCCTGTTCCCGAACACACATGTATCTGTCAATCTGCCTTGTCCACAGCACCATCGCTCTCTGCCACCTCCCCTAGTTCCATCTTTCCGGCCCATTACACAATCTAAGATACCAGGAGCTTCCCAGGGAAGAGAGCAGTTAAATCATTAATGATCTGCAAGTATCAGAAGCCAAAAGAGAGAGAAGAGGTATCCCTACACCTCTCAGAGCTATAAATTCCAGAAAAGTCTCTTAGGAATGGCAGTTGTAGGACCCAGACTCCAGAGGTGCTTCTGAGCAACCGGCACAGAGATTGTGTGTGAACCAATGATCCAACCTTGTCCACACTTGGAACAACTGCTTAAGACAAGCTGTTTCTTGCCTCCAGAATTCTGTATTCTGCAGGTCAAAACAGGTCCCATGAAGAAGGTGATCCTGAGGATCTGCTTTCTTGCTGTAAGAGGAGGTGGGAAGCAGGTCGTGTTGGAATGAGGGTCATTCATGCTGGAGACCCTAGGAAATGTCAACTACCCATCCCCCATGAGACTTTATATGCTGCCCTAGAGGCCTCTTTAGGTCTCATGGATGGGAACAAGGCAAGAAGCAGATGGTCAGAAGGAGGGAACAGGTCTGATGAACCAACTCCTTACCCACTTAACATCTTTCATTTAGCATCTTAGAAAGAAGTTTGGAACCAGAAACCCAAACCCTTCTGTATGTAAACTTTATGACATTTTGAAACTTTCTGATTTACCTGTTTGCCTCACATTCTGAGTTTTTTGCAAACTTTTATTTTCTCCACTGCTTTGCAGCAAAACCCTGGACCACCAGAAAAGATCTAGGTACCATTTTCATGGATAAGAAAGTAGAAACCAGCTGGGTGCATTAGTGCATGCCTGTAATCCCTGTGGCTCAGGAGGCTGAGACAGCAGAATTGCAAGTTCAAAGCCAGGCTCAGCAACTTAGCAAGGCCCTAAGCAACTCAGTGAGACCCGGTCTCTAAGTAAAATACAAAATAGGGCTGGGGATGTGGCTCAGTGGTCGAGTGCCCCTGAGTTCAATCCCTGGTACCCAGAAAAAAAGAAAAAAAAAAGAAAGTAGAAACCAGATCAGAGGGACAACTGCAAAGTGGGACAAAAGGAAAGATTTCTCAAAGTGGGAAGTGAGTGGTGGGATTTTTCCCCCCTTAAAGGACACGATGAATGACAGCTGTCCCTCATTCCTCCTTCTTCTTCTTTTTAAGAATACAACATTTCACCTAGGACATGTGCATCTATGGTCGTAAGTGAGGCAGGGCTAACACTGTGTTACCTTGCAATGTGGTCATCTGGTTTTACAAACAAGGCTACACTAAAGCACAAGAGTGAGTCCACCTGCTTCACTGTCTTCCTATAAAGGATAAAGCATTCTTGAACATGAAAGTTGACCCTAATTCCAAGGCCCCTGGACCTGGAGATTCTAGTTGTGGTAGCCGTTAAGAGCCCAGTCAAGTCTTTTATTGCGTGTTAAAAGTTTTCCATGTATATGGTTTCCAAAAATGTATCTCATCTAGTTTTCCAATAGATTAGCATTTAGCCATTTGGAGACATGATTTTATAGTGTGTGTGCCTGCTTTCATTATGTTCCTTTCTATTTTTATTGTCATTTTTTTCTTTCTTGTTTTTCCTTCCTTGATCTTGACCCAAATTAACTACCTTGTAATCTCTCTTTCCTTTTGCAACCTCTTGGACATTTCCTGGAATGGTGCTAATTGAGATGCACTTCTTGGCACTGAGGGGAAGAGCGCAGCCTACTGCTGGATGTCAGCGTGGTGGCAATGTGGTGTAAGGGAACGCTTCTCTACATCTGTGAAGGGGCCCCCGGCCACTTCTATTTCTTCACCACTATTGTCATTCCTTTGTCCATTTTTATCAGCTACATGAGGCCCTTTTTTGCTCAGTTTCTCTCCTTTTTCCAGTTTTCTCCTTTTTGCCTCTTTCAGCCTGGGAAAAAGGGACACCTCCCTTGCTCTGCCACACCCACAGCTTGGGGCTGGTGCCTCTGTCCCACAGGAGTTCCTTCAGGCTAGGAGGATTCCCGGCAGCTGTGACACAGGCTGCTGGCCTGCTTCTTCCTATTAACGGCACCATTTGCCAACAAAAACACATCTTCAAATTTTCAAACCAGTCCTGACTTGCAAACAAGATTGGTTTTGGTAAACCACGCTGGTGCCTGCACCATCTGCTCCTTCCTGGAAATGTTTGTGTAGCCTCCCGCCTTTCTCCTGAGCCATGTTCTAAAACTTCTTGGACATTTTTCTCTTTCAATGAGTGAGTCTGCTGCTGGCGGAGATGCTCAATGAAAGTCTTAGAAATAGGTGTGTCTTATTTTTGTCACAAATGTACAGTGAAGTTGTTTGCCTGGCAGAGCCACCAGGCACTTGGGCGTGCCACTCTTTCAGGAAGAACTGTCAGTTGCTTAGGCTTCTCCACTTGGCTCTCCTTTCCCCACCAGCCCTGACAGTCAGCTCTCCTTTTAGGGGCATTTTCTTTCTTTTTCTTCTTCTCTCTTTTGCACAGAGTTGCTGTAGTTTTACCAGTTCACAAAAGCCAATTCTTAAGAAAGGGCATGCAGCAGGTAGCCATGCTTCTGAGCAAGGTCGACACTGGGCAGCTGGGCAGCCTGGCTTACCCACTAAGAGAATTGCTTCCACACATCAGCCTCACCGCGTGTGAGGTTCAAATTCATGGCTCAGCAAAATGGCAGATTTCTGTGCACCATGAGCCTTCATTGGCCTAACCCAAAGTGCCATTGTTAACAATTTGGTCACATCAATGGTCTACTCCATTTCTAATTCCACCAGGGAGGAAAGAGAAGCCAGGAGAAGCTGAGTGGTCCAAGTCTAGGTGCAGAATGTTTCACACAAAGTCACCAAGGGGTAGAACCTCAGAGAGGTGGAAGGGACAGCCTTCGTTCATAAGTAGGAAGACTATGGCCCAGAGATGGTGACTTGCTCCAGGAACCCTACTGGTTTGCAACAGCAAGGGGTAGAACAAAGTCCTTGACCCCTAGGTTAACCTTTTCTTATAGCCAGGAGCACAAGAAAGGGCTCACACAAGCTCCACGCTGCTTAAAAGGGAAGAACCCACTGAAAGTAGAAGCTCAAAACAGTATTTGCACATCTGTGTTCATAACAGCATTATGTACAACAATCAGATGCAACCCAAGTGTCCACTGAGGGCTGGACAGACAGAATGTGGTACAGACATCCGACAGGATATGATTCAGCCAGAGAGAGAAAGGAGATTCTGAAATGTTACCAAATGGATGAACCCTGAAGACACTGTGCTAAGTGAAATAAGCCAGTCACAGAAAGAAAAAAACTGCTTCCACTTATATGAGGTACTTAGTCATCCAACTCAGAGAAACTCACAAAGTTAAAGTTTGGGAAAAAGACAAATTTATGGAGATGGGTAATAGTTGCACAACAATATAATGCTGATGAACTGTCCATTTAAAAATGGTTAAGAGGTAAAACCTATATTTATTTTAACACACACACACACACACACACACACACACACACACAGAATCTACTTCCTTCTCTCTGCCTGAATTCTTAATTCTTACTCACTCCCCCAACTCTGCCCGACTAAATCTCAAGGCTCCTCTGAAATAAGGACTCTTCAGAATTGCTATGGTTTATCCCCTGAGCTCAGTTGGAAATTTAACCCCCAAACTCACATGTCAATAGCAGCAAGAGGGTGGAAACAACTACAGTGTTTAGAGGTGGGGCCTTTGGGAAGTAGTTAGGAGTAGATAAGGTCATTAAGGTGGGAACCCATGACTATAATCCTGATGGCTCTATACAAAGAGGGAGAGAGACCAGACATAAACATGCATATTCCCCATCTGTTGCCATCTGATGCCTTGTGCCACCTTGGGACTCTGCCAGCAAGAAGTTCAGCACTAGAACTACTGATGCCAGTGCAATGCCCTTGAACCTTCAAAACTATGAGCTAAATAAATGTTTTTTTTCTTTACTTGCCTCAGGTATTTTGTTATAGTAACAAAAAATGGGTCCACTAGGAACCTTTCCCAAGTGCCCTGTTGCTTGACCTGTTCTCCCCCGAGCATTTGTTCTCCCTGCCTCACAAACCGCCTACAGTTTTGTCTCTTTGTCAATGATGTGTTTACAAGTTGATCTCTCCTCTCCAGTCTGTGAACTTGAGGTCAAAGACATTAAACCATGCCAGTCTGGAGCTCAGTTGGCATCTACTAAGGCTGGAAAGACTGAGAGCCACTGCTGATCCCTCAGTCACCCACACAAGAAACAGGCACCGTACTTTTGCTTGTTAGGAGGGTCAGCTCTGAGGGAGAGATTCTTCAAGAGCTTGAAAACTTATAATTTGCTCTGAAACATATGTAGAAGCATTTCATTTCAACCCAGAAACAAAATTTCTTCTTATTTTGGGGGAAAAAACTTTAAACAGAGAGGTCAAATAGGAAGAGTCTATTTTTTCCTATTAGAAATACCTTGGGGTATTGGAATACCTTGGGAGCTTAAAAAGGAGTGTGTGTGTGTGTGTGTGTGTGTGTGTGTGTGTGTGTGTGTGTGAAGAGCATAACTTTAATTCCTAATTTCCAGCTCCTTGAAGGCAAGGTCACCAAATGCCAAATGGATCACAGAGCAGTACCAAG